ACTTCACTAACTCCCGCTTTGTACTTCCTTGACAAGAATGACTGACAGGATGCTACAACTCATACACCGACGTACTAAGGTTACTAACACATATTTTTAAAAAGGTGTTAAAGAAATAACCTAAATAGAAATAAAAAAGAGAAAGTGATGCTTACATTATGAACTCCTAAATCTAAATATGTTTTGGTCTTAAAAATATATGCTCATATTTTGGTATTTTTATATATACTAGTTTTTTTTACTCCTATGTAGGGAGTTCTCCTTAATTATAAATAAAGAGTATTGCTTATGTCAAGGAACCAACTCAACCACAAGCTCAAGCTTGTGGTTGTGGCCCAGTAATGATTGTTATATACTCCAACACGTCCCCTCACGTGCAGGCGTGACCTTTTTGAGCCTTGCACGTGAACCTTAATTTTTTTTAATCTGGGTGGCGGTGAGTTTCGAACTCGTGACCTCTTGGTCATCAAGGCTCTGATACCATGTCAAGGAACCAACTCAACCACAAGCTTGAGCTTGTGGTTATGGCCCAGGAATGATTGTTATATACTCCAACAGCTTACATAGTCCTGAACTCCACATTTAAAATATGAGTCTTCTCACATTTTTCATGAACTTGCATGTGGGTATTTTCTGTTTTGCAATATGCTCACTTCTCTAATCCTACAAGTGTACTAAGATCCATACAATTAGTATGGACGGGAAGAATTTGACAACAATAAAAGTATATATGAAGAAATTATTATATAGAGTGATGCTTAATTACATGGTCCCGATATGCTCCCGTTTTCCATGAGCTTGCATGTAGATAATTTCTACTCCGGGTACTTTTTAATTCTATAAATGCACTAAGCTCCATTCCATTTAATAATTCATAGGAATATAGGATCATCATCATCGATCAACATCTCCATAATTAATCATACTATCTACTTAAAGAAAAGAGAGAGAGAGAGAGGAATGGAAGCAGGAGGAGATTGAAGTTCGCCGCGAGAACAATAGCGTTTGCCGGCCTACCCATATTCCTCTGTCTCGCCCTCCTCGTCGTCCGATACACCGTCTTAAACGACCACTGTGTCCGCATTAATGCTCTCCCGGACACATTCCTCGTCGGGCAAATCTTAGTCTTGGTCGTGGCGGTGTTCAACTGCCTGCTGGCATTTTGCCTGCCCAAACGCGACGACGACATTGACGAATGCCACCCACTTTGCCTCGCTTTCTTTATGCTTGTCCCATTTATTCTGTTACTGATGATCCTTGTTTTTCCCGTCCGTACCGGCTTCTCCATCACCGGCAATTACCCGCCCTACGGCGGCGGTGGTGGTTCTGATGATCACCTCGGCCACTTCTCCCCGCAGCTTCGCGACGGAGTTGGCGGCGCCGGACGGTGGGATGGCATCGTCGCCTGTCTAGCTCCTTCTATTGGCTGTGACCGCTTGAATCAAACTAAAAATAATAATTACACTTCCCCGCAACAATTGTCCTCTGCCCATCTCCCACCATTGCAGGTAGGGGTGGACACGGTGAAAGATTTGATATTTTCCAATGGTTTACAATGTGATAATACAAGGGAATATATACTAGGAGAATCCTAGGTATATTAAGAAAATACAATACAAGGAAACCTAGGCATATATGGTAACTAGGATATACACAATATAATAATATATACGTAATATATTAAATATAGAAGGACTATATTTAACATGCTCCCAACGGCACTGGCGATGATTGTCGGATCCCCAAGCTATCACGAAATTCTGAGAAGACCATGGTTGGGAGGCCCTTTGTAAAGATGTCCGCATATTGCAGGGAGGAAGGTACATGGAGGACTCGTATGTGTCCAAGGGCTACCTTGTCTCGGACGAAGTGGATATCAACCTCGATATGCTTTGTGCGTTGGTGTTTGACAGGATTGGCAGAGAGATAAACAGCACTAACATTGTCACAGAACACCAAGGTAGAGCGGCTTAGAGGTTGCTGAAGCTCTAGGAGTAAGTTGCGTACCCAACTAACTTCAGCTACGGCATTTGCTATAGCCCTGTATTCGGCCTCTGCACTTGAGCGCGACGTGGTCTGCTGGCGCTTAGTAGACCATGAGATGAGATTGTCACCGAGGAAAATGCAATATCCAGTCGTGGACCGACGAGTA